CTGCACTTCTTTTCCTGGTTTATTGTAACAGTAACTATGTCAATAAGAATAAAAGGAATCTCTGGACTATTCTTACAGCGAAACCTCAAGGATCTGGGAATACTTTGAGACCTGGGAGGCTGTTTGGTGTTGGAAAAGGCAGCTCTAGGGGATAAGGGAAATTGTTAGTTTCTCAGCATCAGGAATTAACTTAGTTCATTCTTGCTCTGTGGCTTGAAAGTGAGTGAGCTGCGCTTTTTTTTTCAGCCTCTGTTTGCTTATCTTTCTTTTTCGGATCCATTGACAGTGGTATGCCATTTGTATATTTTTAGTTCAAATTATTGAGAGAGTAAGAATGTCACCATCACAAGAAATCACCTTGTATTTGGGGGAAGGTTCTGTATCAGACCACGTCATAGCACAGGGCCATCCTTGGGCCAGGTGCTTAACTCCCCCTAACCAATCATCTACAGGCAGAGAATAAGGGTGGGGAGGGAGGTGTCACATGGTCCTTTATGCTTACCATATTTTATGCTTACCATATTTTATGCTAAGGTTGCTTTTCTCATGGAAGCTGTACCTGATCATCCATTTAGAAGAAGTCTGTAGGCAGGGCAGGCATTCTAAGGCAAGATCTTTTCTATGTAGAACACATTTTGCAGATTCTGATTCTGATTTATCTTCAGCACAATCAATGAGGCTGATATCTCATGTCCTCCTATTATAGTTTGTAGAGTGTCCAGCAATCATATATTGAATAACATGGACATAGTACATCTGATGTTATGCTTTGATGTTATATTTCCAATTGCACTCTCCTAACCATTTAGCTGATGACACTTGCCTGTATCAAACCGATCTTTGCTTTCCTTACTGAGGTTGAGGATATTGGCATGTGTGTGTATGTGAGATTAGAAAGTGAAGTTAGGTCTTAGTTTTTTATTAGTAAAAAAATAATAAATAAGGAGTAATCAGGTACAGCTATCAGGTAAAAAGCTGCATGCTGCCTCAACATTTTTATAGTATTTGTCAAAACAATTTACATTTTGATATTCTTATTGTTCTCCATAAACTCAGCTTTTCCATATGACTACTTCATACCTCTGAATGCATCTTTTATTAGCATCTTTCTTACTAACTTACCTAAATACTTTTGGTATATTGCCAAATTGTTCTCCTTTGTTATCCAACTTTGAGCTCAGACTTGATTTCTTAACTGAGCAATTGATTTATTCATTTGCCAATCTCTTCTTGAGTGTTTACAAACTGGAAACACCTGGGGTTACTAGTCTGCTTATTATTAGACTGCATACAAGTCTAAATTTTTCTCGGTTTTCTGTTTCCAACATCTTTCTTTTGGAATGTCTTCATATATTAGCTTTCTTTAGTCATTACTTGATGTATGATTGTTGGAAACTAGACAAACTGGAAAAATATGATAGCCGTATGACCTTTTCTCTATCCAAAAATACAGAACACGTATTCCTGCTTATAGATGTTCTTTATACAACCATCCCTTCTCTATTCTGCAGTTTCCAGTATTACCTTCATTTCCCTCAAGATTCGTGTGTACAAAATGTTCTCCTATGCCTCCTTTCTCTCCCATCCCTTTATAATTCTCTCTAAAATACTGTTTTATACAGAAAACAAATATATTTGCCTTTCTACAAATCTGTTCTTAAGATCTGGGTTTCATGGTTTTCCACTTGGATCACCTGCTGCCCCACCCCAACTTTTTTTTTTTCCCTCCTTACAGAGATCCCAGTGCCTAGGACGATGCTAAAGTCATAGCAAAGGCTAAATTTACATTTTTAACAACAAACCACGATTGATAATGTTAATATATTCTAACCTCTGTTCTTTTCATTGCTGTTTTTTCTTTATATTATTGCTTTTATTCCTATTTTTCTTTTTCAATTAAAAATTTTCACAATCTACTTAAACTTACAGCAGATGTTCGGTGTGTTTTGATTACCAAAAACTCTGCTGATGCCATCTCTCAGCCTCTCCCTTTGCTGTTTCTTTTGTATCATTATCATTGTCCTGGATATTCCCTTTCCTTTAAATTTTAAATATTTGACAATTCCACTTTCATATGAGAAGGTACCCTCTCTACCCATTACACAGTTCTCCTTCTAATTTATTTCCTTCTTTCCTTCCTTCCTTTCTTTCTTCCTTCCTTCCTTCTTTCCTTCCCTCCTTCCCTCCTTCCTTCTGTCCTTCTTCCCTTCCTCCCTTCCTCCTTTCCTCCCTTCCTCCCTTCCTTCCTTCCTTCCTCCCTTCCTCCCTCCCTCCCTTTCTCCCTTCCTTTCTTCCCTCCCTCCCTTCCTTCCCTCCTTCCTTTTTTTTTTTCTACAGTCTCCTTCACCCAGACAATGCAACGGTGCGCTCTTGGTTTACTGCAACATTCACCTCTTGGGTTCAAGTGATTCTCCTGCCTCAGTGTCCTGTGTAGCTGAGATTAAAGGTGTGTACCACCACAACTGGCTAATTTTTGTATTTTTAGTAGAGATGAGGTTTTCCCATGTTGGCCAGGTTGGTCTCGAACTCCTGACCTCAGGTGACCTGCCTGCCTCGGCCTCCCAAAGTGCTGGGGTTAAAGGCATGAGAATCATGCCCGGCATCCTTCTAAACTCCTTGAAATCTATAATTTATGTATCCATTCCAATTAAGTTTACCAAATATAGAAATTACATGCCAGCATGCTCTGAGCTAGGATCTGCCAGGCAGCCAATAGATGACTTTACTGAATGAATTCCCTCCTCAGAGTGATTTCTATTTATTCTGAAGGAAATAATTTCAAACACTTTTTGTGGTAAGGCTGAAATCCACTGCATATTCTCTAGGGTGTGGTCCTAGAGGATCCCTCTAGAGGTACATTGGATATTCTTGAGACCCTAAAATTATCCAAGGATATAATATCCTTGGATAATTTTAGGGTCAGATGTCCTTGGATCATTTTAGAGTCCCAATAATATCCAATGTCTCTTTCCTACCATTGGAAATGTCTCCTTCTCTTATGGACCAGTGCCTGAGATTCCACCTCATAACACCATTACTTGAGGACACAAGAGAATCTCTCCAATGTATAAACTAGTTAAGATCTGAAGGTTGTCCATCAATCATTTTTAATTCTAAATCTGAGGCAGCTTAGGGGAGACTATACTTATAGTCTTTGTAAGGTTTTCCATGAGTCAATCCTCTGAAGCATTAATATCATGCACACAGTCCTCCTTGCTGATAGGCATTTTATTGGGCCACTTTCTCAGTTACTTCTGCCAATGTCATGGGAAACTCTTTAATAATTGTGGTATTTTCATTTGCTGGCCTGACCCTCACTTCAATGTTGAGCAAAATCAAATTGGCTTTGAAACTCTGAAACCCTTCATGGTTCTTAATGAAAACTTATAAGCAACATGTTCAACATGCTTTACCCTTAAGTTCTCAAAACCCCTAGTCAACTTCTAAATTAACATTAGCCTTCTGAGCATCCCATGTTGATGCTGATATTCCTGAATTTCTCAGCAGGTGGTGATATTGGTATTTTGGGTGGGGCAATCCTTTATTGAGTGGGGCTGGCTTATCTACTGCAGGATTTAGACTTACTGAATCCTACCACAAAATGCCATTACTATTCTCTATGGAGACAACTGAAATGCCTGCACACATTCCCAAACTCCATTTAAAACTACTGTATGGTGCTCAGACACTTTTATATCTCTAACCACTTTTCCTTCTTTCCTCCTTAATCATAGTCCATACTTTAGGCACTGTGGTCTTCACATGTTGTGTGTGGCAGTCCTTGAAAACTGAGCAAGACTTGATCCCATTCTCACATGCAGTGGTTGTCATTTTCTCAGCACTTTTACTTAAAAATTGTCTTTACTTGTATTCTTATTGTAGTCATAGGTTTCTTTTCACTAATTTTTCAAATGCTGTCACTGCTTTGGTAAATTCTGTGCATAATGGAGTTAAAAGTTGTGTGTAGAAGACCTTAAAAACTAAGCAAAGGCAGCACACACACATGAGTAGACCAAAGCCTGTGTGATGGTTGAAACTAAAATTCACTGTGCTGGAAGCCAGTGCAATTGCTGGGACTTGTTCAGGAACTTACCTTATGCATCAGTGTTTGAAAACTGAAGTCCAAACGTATAGGAGGCCTATAGTGTTATCCATGGTAGCAATGCTAATAGGGGTTCTTATTGCCACTCATTGTAACTAAAGGACTTGTCAGGTCTACCAGGGAGTGACTTATATTCAAGAATTCTTTCATCAAGAATAGAAAGCTAAGAAGTCCTAATTTTGAATGGAGGCAATTGAAATGCCATCCCTAAGGGCTTACTTTTAGCATGCTAATGTTTCCATGAAAAACACTGACCTTATTAGAAGGTACTATACTTCATTCAAGTTGTAATTTAAAGGGGACAATAGTGGTCAATAGCAGCTGGCACTATTGGCTCAATAAGCAAAGCTCAATAGTTTTCAATAGGTTTGATTGATACCAGGAAATATATGCATCTTTGTTAAGGGCAGAGGCAGCTGTGAGATAAATGAATTTAACTAGGATTTACCTAGTAAGTTGGAAATGAGTGAAAATAAGAAGTAAAAATTATTATGCATCTTTTTTGCTATTTATTTACTTAGACTCTTAAAACTTTAAAACTCTTATAACTGGCAAGAATTTTCAAAGATAATATCTGGAGGATGATGGAAAAGCAGTGTGAGCTGCTCATATACTTTCTAGTCATGAGCATATTGTGGTCATGACAAATACTGAATTTTGAGCACAGATACAATCTTGGCTAAATCACCTGTAATTCAGATGTCAACATCCTTGTATAAAGATTACCACTAGCGGGGCGGCCATGTGACTTTCCCAGTAATATTTGAGTTGCTCATATAGAAACCAATATCCCCTTGAGGCAGAGATTGTTCTTTGTCCCCTTGTATTTATTCTCTCCTTTTTCTTTTTCTTTTTTGAGAACAGGTTACCTGGAATCCTAATTAGTAAAGGATATTCATTTATATTCAAATAAGAAATTTATTTTCTTTCCATATATAAGTTTTTCCCAGAATTTTTCAAAACAAACCTATGTCGAGGTAAGCTTTGGGAAGAAAAGGTCAGTATCCCACCATGGGATTTTTGGAAGTTTTGTTTTCTCACTAAGAAAAGATGGCACATTTATATTTTCTCTTCCAGGGACTTAATTTCATTCACATCAACAGATATTGAGTGCTGACTGTGTGTAAAACACTGTAGGAGTCCCTAGAGATAAAGAGAGGAAACAGACACAGTCACTGCCCTCAAGGAGCTCACAGTCTACTAGGGAGGACAGCACAAATACACAAACACATGCACTAGGAGATAGGATGCATATAATATTAGAGATACAAGTGAGTTATATAGGAGCACAGAGCTGGGAGAGAGGACTTCCATAGGGACAGCGAAGGAAGAAGTATCTCAGGAAGAGATTGCATTTGAGCTACCTATGAAAAATTGGTGGAAGAAAGATGTGAAGCCATGGAGGTGAGGTTTCTAAAGCAATGAGATCAAATGTTAGGGGAGTTGAGGAAGCATAGGTAATACATTTTTCTGGAGCATGAAGTAGGTGAGAAGAAGTGGTGAGATATAACTCTGCAAAGATAGTTTGGGGACACATAGTAAGGGGACTTGAATGCTGCACTACAGAATATTAATTTATTTTTCATTGATAGGGAAAGAGCAAAGGATTTTGAACAATGCAACTAAAAATCGACCATATGCTCTTAAACAGTGACTCAAACTTTACCTTGTTCAGAATCTCCTGGATGCCTTCTTAAAACAGAGATTAATGGTCTCCACTCTTAATTTTTTGACTCAGTAGGCCTTGAATGGGGCCCTTGACTTTGCAGTTCTAACAAGTTCTCAGGTGATGCTAATACTACTAGTCTGGAGATGCCTCAGTGAGAAACTCACACTGGGAGAGGTGTGGGGGCCAAGCTGCAGGTGGGAGAATCCAAAGGCAGGTGGACCAAATAAGATTTGGTTGGGGGAGAGGACCAACTTATTGGACAGCAAGGTGGCATAAACACATGTTTCTGTAGTAGAGGTAAATGGACACAACGTTGGACTATCTGGATGTTGGAGACCTGAAGCAAAGAGAGAGAATTACATTCATCTGATAGGAATGATAAAAAGCATGGTAATTCTGTTATCTGAGACCGAGAAGGTAGAAAGAAAAGAAAGCTTGAGTGCCGGAAAATTTTCTTGAGTTCAGTATAGAAAGGCTGTGTTTGAGGTACCAAAGAAATAAATATTCATAGGGAGAGGCTCACCAGACGGAACTCATGGGTCTGGAGTTCGAGAAAGAGAAAGATCAGGACTAAAGTCACAAACCTAGGAGCCAAAGGTATGAAACTAATTGTTGAAATGGCAGAAATTGGGATGGAATTGGAGATATAGGATGTGATTTCTGAGGACAAAGCCCCAGGAGCAAGGAAAGGGACAAAGAATAATGAGACAGAAGGTAGCTGGAGAACCAGGAGAGCAAAATATCCTGGAAGGTATGGGCTTAAACAAGAAGAGGATGGTTAGCTGTTGTAATTGATGAGAGAATGAAGGTAGAGAATCTGGAAAGGACGACTGCCAAGTCTCTAGTGATCTGTGGGAGATCAGTTTGGGGAGAACTAGGGTATACTCAGATGGAAAAGGATAGAAAAGTCAGTAGAAGGTGAGAAGTGGAGGCAGAATGAGTGGATTAATGACTGGAGAAACCTAGGTGAGAGAATTAAGGGAGAGATAAAGTAGGAGCTTGATGGGGAAGTAGGGCCAGAGAAAGTTGATTTCTGTGTCCAAGAAACTTGAGCAAAGTAATAGGTGAGATTAAAGAAGATTAGGGAGGAAAAGTGTTGGGATGGTGAGGGAGAAAGGAAGGTGCAGAGAGAGGTTGGGTGTAAGAAGCAGGATTCTAGAAAGGTTAAGACAGGATAGATAGAAGGACTAAAATCACAGAGGTGGAGAGAAAGCAAACTGGTCTTTTCACTATGAAGAAGAGTGAAGAGATGGGGAAAGGCTGTGCATGAGAGACTAGGAGCAGAGGATGAGAGCAGTCACCTACTGTGAGGGGTGACTGTTCTCAGGGGTATGCAAGAATGTGCAAATTTTCCGTCCTCCTGCCATCACTCTTGACTTTGTAAGGGTTTACTCCTCCATGTGACTAGAAAGGTCACTCCTTCTCAGGCCACACCCATGGCCTCAGATCCCATCTGCAGCCTCTTGACACCAGAGTACAGTCTGGCATGGAAGCCACAGGGATTCTGGGAGATGCAATTTCATTCTCATATACCGTTGTGTGGCCATTGCTGTAAACACAGATTTTCAACTTTTACTAAGAGCACAACTGGTAATGTTTTTTTTTTTTTGAGACAGAGTCTCACTCTGTTGCCCAGGCTGTAGTGCAGTGGTGCTATCTCCGCTCACTGCCTGGCTAATTTTTGCTTTTTTAGTACAGATGGGGTTTCACTCTGTTGGCCAGGCAGTCTTGAACTCCTGGCCTTAGGTGATCCACCTACCTTGGCCTCCCAAAGTGTTGGGATTATAGGCTCACACACAGGCGTGTGAGCCACCACGCCTGGCCACAACTGGTAATTTAATGAGTAAAATTCTCCAACAAAGTTATTCAGATAATATATTCTCTCATTTGATCACTGCACCTCATGAAGCTTATTAAAAAGTTTTCCAAATTTGATATGTACTCCCACCTGAGTCCTGCTGCAGTGAAAGTGTATATGGGAAGCTTAGCTGGGATACATTTTAGAATTGGAGGAGGCCCAATGTGTCTATCAGGTAATACCGCAGCACACTGACCAAAGTAGATTTAGATGATTTATTATTTGCTTATGTTTCATATTCATCGTCAAAGACTTAGAAAAGTGCCAGTGCATTTATTCCAGGTATTTTCATTTTAGAAAATGAGGAAGTTTATTTAATCATGAACTAAAAAGGACAAGCCAGCTGTGCTATTTTTACCTGAAAGGAATAGGCTATGTAGTCACAGTGCTACAGTAAACGATTTTAGCTCAGGTCTGCAAGCAGCAGATGACAGCACATCACTTTCTTTTTATTCTTTATGTAGTCATGCAATTCCCACTGGAATATGTATGCAGATAGAGCCATAATCTCAGGTTTAATGCCATATAGGGCATTATCAGGTATTTAATTTATAAGTAATAAGAAATTCTGCAAATAAAGATATTTTTTGGCATTCTTTAATTGCAGGGTAACTGAAATGGCTAAAAAAATCCATAAAAAGTATTTACTATTTCATCTTACTATTATTTCTACAAAAGTTCTGTTTTTGTATCATGTTTATTTGAAATTATGTACCACAGATAAGACCAGAGGTAGAAAACAGCACACCAAACAACAAGCCTCAAACAAAACAGAACAAAACAAATAAGAAAACAGAACCACACATACTTACAAACTCTCCTGAACCAAGTATGTTCAAGAATTAATAAGTTGCACCCCTTACCCCTGTCCACTCACGAGGCTCTGGCAAAAGTCGTGCCTTTTAGCTTTTTACAGTCTAAGTATGCTCTCGGCACCTAATGAGCTTTTTAAAAGCCAGCTTAAAGTCTTCATTAAAACTTGTGTAGAGCAGAGGGTTGATCAGAGAATTAACATAACCGAGCCATGTCAGAAAGTCGGCCACTTCTGAGGACACGGTGTGGATGCTCAGACCCACAATCAACTCTTTGATGAAAAATGGCAGCCAGGACAAAATGAATGCACCCAGAATCAGCCCCAGGATGCGTGCTGCCTTCCGTTCCCTGGTGCTAGAGATCTGCTGGCGTTCTCCCGGGTGATCCAGATCATTGTCGAAGGGTGGGATCCTGATAGAGGCATGGAACTTTTCAAACTCTATGGTAGGGTCTGAGGTGGAGAAGTCAGACACACAGAAAGTCTGTGTAAGTTTACAACTTGCAAAAGAATTCTGGCTATCTGTGCTTCTGTTGCTTAAGTGCCGACTTGATCCCCTTTTCTGGTAAAGGCTCTTGGCTGCATGGTAAATCCGGTAATAGAGAATCAGTATCAAAGTCAAGGGGATATAAAACGCGCCCAGCGTGGAGTAAATGGTGTAGATGACATGGTCGTGCTGGATGGTGCACTGACTAGGGGGAGGGCTTAGGCGGCGGTGGCTCCTCCAGAACAGAGGGGGCATGGAGATGAAGATGGAGATAGTCCAGACAGTGAGGATCATCAGTGCGGCCCTTTTGGCTGTCCTCTTCCTGGCATATTCAATAGCATTGGTGATGGCCCAGTACCTGTCCAGGGCAATGACACAGAGGTGGAGGATGGAGCAGGTGCAGCAGGTCATGTCCACACTCAGCCACACCTCACAGAGGAAGTATCCAAGCTTCCAGCGGTCCATGACAATGTACATGATGCTCAGGGGCATGACGAGCACCGCCACCAGGAGGTCTGTCACGGCCAGAGAACAGATTAAGTAGTTTGCAGGCTGGTGGAGCTTCTTGGTGGTGCAGATGGCCATGATCACAGCCAAGTTCAGCAACGTGGTAAGGGTGGTGATGACCACCAGAGTCATGCAAATGAGCATCTTCTCAGTGATGGTCTTGGGTCTTACAGCCACGCTGGCTTCTGTCGTACAGTTTGTGATGTTCATGTTTCCCCTGTTTCAGTCTACACTGTGGAGAAGCTGTTGGTTACTTCCCTTCAGCTGGAAACTACTGAAGGTAGCCTTGAAGGTTTCTCACTTGTAAGGAGGCTATAATTTGTTCAGCTATGTGGTCTCTTGTGTTCCATTTTCTGTTGGTAAATGCCACAGCATTTCTTCTGAGTGAGGGTTCCTAGAAAATATTATGCTACTGGTTAATGAACGAGAAAGCCACACTTTTCCTGGAAAACATAAAAATAGTTTGATATTTATAAATTTGTTATACATTTTAATTTTCTCATTACTGTGCAACTTTAGTTCATCTTTACTTTATTCCTCAAAGGATACTTTTTTTTTTTTTGAGACAGAGTCTTGCTCCATCACCAGGCTGCAGTGCACTGGCTCAATCTCGGCTCACTGCAACCTCCGCCTCCTGGGTTCAAGCGATTCTTCCGCCTCAGCCTACTGAGTAGCTAGGACCACAGGCGTGTGCCACCACACCCGGCTAAGTTTTGTATTTTTAGTAGAGACGGGGTTTTACCATGTTGGCCAGGATGGTTTCGATCTCTTGACCTCGTGATCCACCTGCCTCAGCCTCCCAAAGTGCTGGGATTACAGGCATGAGCCACTGGGCCCAGCCAAAGGATACTTTTTTGACTTGAGGGAAGTTTCAAGCCATTTTAATTTTTTAAATTATACTTTAAGTTCTGGGATACATGTACAGAATGTGCAGGTTTTTTACACAGGTATACATGTGCCATGGTGGTTTGCTGCACACATCAACCTGTCAACTACATTAGGTATTTCTCCTAATGCTCTCCCTCTCCCACTCCCCGACAGGCCCCAGTGTGTGATGTTCCCCTCCCTGTGTCCATGTGTTCTCATTGTTCAATTCCCACTTAGGAGTGAGAACATGCGGTGTTTGGTTTTCTGTTCCTGTGTCAGTTTGCTGAGAATGATTTCTCAGCAAATGATTCTGCTGAGAACAGTTTCCAGCTTCATCCATGTCCCTGCAAAGGACATGAACTCATCCTTTTTTATGGCTGCAAAGTATTCCATGGTGTATATGTGCCATATTTTCTTTATCCAGTCTATCATTGATGGGCATTTGGGTTGGTTCCAGGTCTTTGCTGTTGTGAATAGTGCTGCTATAAAGATACATGTGCATGTATCTTTATAGTAGAATGATTTATAATCCTTTGGGTATATACCCAATAATGGGATTGCTGGGTCAAATGATATTTCTAGTTCTAGATCCCTGAGGAATCACCACACTGTCTTCCACAATGGTTGAACTAATTTACATTCCCACCCACAGTGTAAAATCATTCCTGTTTCTCCACATCCTCTCCAGTATCTGTTGTTTCCTGATGTTTTAATAATTGCCATTCTAACTGGCCTGAGATGTTATCTCATTGTGGTTTTGATTTGCATTTCTCTAATGACAGTGATAATGAACTTTTTTTCATGTTCGTTGGCTCCATAAATGTATTTTTTTGAGAAGTGCCTGTTCATATCCTTCACCCACTTTTTGATGGGGTTGTGTGTTTTTTTCCTAAATTTGTTCAAACAATTTTTGACAAAAACATTGCAAAGTTTCAAATTTGCTTTGCTGTCCCAATTTCTTATTTATATTTATTCTTTTATACATGCTTATATATAAAAAAGCTTGGTTTTACATTTGAAAACATATTCATATGTAACCTTAAAAATTCTGGGACCATTATATTAAAGAAAAAAATCATATTGTTTATAATAAGCAGCTTTCAAATCAGATTTTAAACTTTTGCAGTAAATAGGCCAGGTGTGGTGGCTCACACCTGTAATGCCAGTACTTTGTGAGTTCAAGGTGGGCAGATCACACGAGGTCAGGAGTTTGAGATCAGCCTGACTAATATGGTGAAACTCCATCTTTACTAAAAGTACAAAAATTACCCAGGCTTAGTGGTGCCTGTAGTCCCAGCTGCTCAGGAGGTTGAGGCATGAGAATTACTTGAACCCAGGAGATGGAGGTTGCAGTGAGCCAACATCATGCCATGCCCTCCAGCCTGGGTGACAGAGTGAGACTCTGTCTCAAAAAAAAAAAAAAAAAAAAAAAAAAGAAAAAGAAAGAAAGAAAGAAAAAGAAAAAAAAACCAAAAACAAAACGTTCATAGTAAACTTTAAACTCCAAAGGTATATAGTGTCACAATGGTATCGCACAACTTCGTCTAAATTATTTCTGACATTTTATGCATTCTACTGTGTATTTCTTTGGAAAAAAGCATATAACATTATGTTGATATCTGTGGAAAATGGTTCTCTTTGTAATACAATAAATCAACTGTGAAACAGCATCACCACTAAGCTCAAAGATGTCTATATTAAAAAAAAAAATATTTGTTTCAGTTAACATTTGTGGCTGGCCTCCCTCCCCTCCCCTCCCCTCCCCTCCTTCTTTCCTCCTCCTCTTTCTCTTTCATTTTTTTTTCTTCTTCTTCCTCCTTTCTCCTCCTTCTCCTCTCCTTTCTCCTCCTCCTCCTCCTTCTTTTCTTCTTCTTCCTCCTCCTCCTCCTCTTCCTATCTCCCTCTCCTCTCTCTTCTCCTTCTGCTCTGCTCTTTTCTTTCTTTCTCTCTCTCTCGCCCCCACTTCTCTCTCCCCACCCCACCATAGCTGTGATTAAGCTGGTCTGTCAATCTGCTAGTACCATTTTTACAGAAATATAAAGTCAAACATAAATGTTATTCATGAAAACACAACAATCAGTACATGGAAATCATCAAAATTACATGGAAATATTCACAGTTCATGGCTGCTGGGTAGAGGCTGATCAAATCATCTGATTTGACTCCATGGGATTGGTCCCAGAAGACTTCAAAGAAACTTTAGCAGTTTTTAAGAAGGGATATAGATTGATGCCCATAAGGCTTAACAAACACAGTAATTTCAGCAAAGGATCAGGGCAGGAGCAGGTGAGGCACATGTGGAAGAGGGTGTGGATTTTGGAGGGAGTCTTTGCGTGGTTTGAAGATAGGTGGAAGGAATAAAAATCTGCAGTCTGTGGATGAGATCTAGCCCAGTTTTTTTTTTTTTTTTTTGAGACGGAGTTTCACTTTTGTTACCCAGGCTGGAGTGCAATGGCGCGATCTCAGCTCACCGCAACCTCCGCCTACTGGGTTCAGGCAATTCTCCTGCCTCAGCCTCCTGAGTAGCTGGGACTACAGGCACGCGCCACCATGCCCAGCTAATTTTTTGTATTTTTAGTAGAGACAGGGTTTCACCATGTTGACCAAGATGGTCTCGATCTGTTGACCTCGTGATCCATATGCCTCGGCCTCCCAAAGTGCTGGGATTACAGGCTTGAGCCACCATGCCCAGCCTAGCCCAGTTTTAATTTGCTCATAGCGCAAAAACCAAGAAGAGGGAGAGATAGGCACCATTTAGCCTTCAGATACAGAAAGTCAAAGAAAACAAGTTCACTGAAGACCATAAATGTGTCAATTGTTTTTGAGACAGTTTGTATCTTTCTGTCATTAAATGATATTCTTTTAGCCTCTCTGTTTCTTTATGCACTCACAGCATTTCTGTGACTGTACCTACTATTCAATGACTCTTATATTTCTCTAGTTCTTCCGTGGGGCTGGTCCTATGAACAACCGCCTATCTTTTGTAGACTGAATATTTTCTTCTCTACTGGTACCTTTCCTTACTTTTTACAGACAGGTTAAACTTGCATTTGTGTCTGAGATAGGCTGTAAAATTGAAGGATTGTGGGCTTTGGAATCAGACAGACCTGGGTTCAGATTCCAGTGGTGCTATCTACTAGCTGCTTGGACCAAGCCCTCTTCATTCTTCCCTGTGTTTCATGGTTAACATTTCTTCACGTTGACCTCTTTCTCTCTAATTGAGTGAAAAAAGTTGTGTTTGTTTTTGTGCATGTACTAGTCCTTGGTTATGTTTTTCTTGGGTTCTTGAGATTTGTTGGGTAGAGTGGTTCTCAGTAAAAAGGCTTTTCCATTCTGGTTGTAAGATTGAGAGTATAGAGAATAGCATTGAAAAGGAAAAGAAAACTTCAGAAATTTCAATTTATAGTAGAGGTAATTAGGAAATGTAGTTATTCTGAAAGCATGTGGTTTAAAAACATCAGAAATAATTCAGCGTTATAGATCTTTTAAATCTGCTCTATTTATCTGGGCTCCCACAACTCCTACTTGTCATTCTCTCTGGTGACATTTTCTTCCTAATTTTGTGACTTTATTTATTATTATTATTATTATTTTTCTCATTAATGAGTCTTTTTGTTGTCTTTTTTTAAATCAAAGGTCCCTTAGTGGTCCTGCTTCCATGAGTAGCAGTGACCAGGGGAAAAGGGAGAGGAACCAGCGGGCACAGGGAGGGGTCATCTCCACAACATTCCATTTATACACAGAACTAAACAGACAAGCACAGAGTCACTATTGCGGTTAGAAGTTGGCAGCATGGGAAGGGGGAGGAACAACTGGGGATTGGGGATGTTGTTAAAAAAAATACAGGCTCCCCCCACAACTGAGGCCTCAGGGGAATTTGGTCTGCTTCAACCCAAGAGGAATCAGAAGATCAAAAGCAGTTTGGGAAGGCCAGAACTGTCAGGAATGGAGGGAGGAGGAATATCCAGGGGGTGGGGAGTCCGTTTGGCAACTGGGGTGAGGGGATTGCCCTCCCCCTGCTGGGATCCCCCCAGCCCCTCTGGTCTGGCAGGAAGGGGGCAGCCTGCAACCCCCAAGGGCAGGTGTGGGGCTGCCAGATGCTCCAGGCAGGGGGCCAGAAGGGGCTCACAAAGGCTTGCCCTCCAGGGAGATGACAGCACTGCCCCCCAGCTTCTCTGCCAGGGTGCAGCGGTCCTTGACCTCCTCGTAGCAGTTTGCTTGCAATTCATGCTTGATCCCTGTCAGCTTCTTGATGGCATCCTTGGAGCTGGCATAGATCATTTTGCTCTTAAGGGGCGCAGACTCAGGAGCCCAGAAGATAAACACCAGGTCCTCCTTCTTGCTCTCCTTGGTCTCATAGGTTGCATCATAAAGGGCGTAGCGGCAGTCCTTATCTGGCAGCATCTTCACAAAGGTGGTGTAGGGGTCATCCACAGTTTGGCCCACATCGCCCACCAGGATCTCCTTGCCCTCCTCCAGGATGATGTTCTTCTTGTCCTCACTCAGGCAGAAGAGCACAGCCTTCTT